AAGGTTAATTGAAAAGAATCAGTTCGTTCTTGAATCAGACACCGCTTCTGCGTCTCGGAGCACGTGATATATTATAAGGAGTAACGATATGTTTTATGAAATGTAGTGAAGTAAAAAGTACGATCTTATGCTTTGGAATGTAGTGAAGTAAAAGTAAAAGTTACTCAAAATAAAACTACTCCAGTAAAGTACAGATACTTGAAAAATGTACTTAAGTACAGTAACGAAGTAAAGCTACTCCGTTACTGTCCACCACTGCTTTACTGTATCTAGGCTATTATGACAAGTATGTGTGGTAAATGATCCTAATCGATTACTGACTGAACCATTATGAGATAAGAATAAATGCAGTGGAGTCAGTGCAAATGTCCTAAATGTTATTGCTGTAAAACTTGTCATGACGAGCAGGAAGGGGCAGTGAAGTGCTCTGATCTACTAGTCAGCTTAGCCAGTAGGTGAGATCTTGTGCATTTTCTATGTGGATGAAGGGTAGAAGGTTCATTCTGTCCTTTAAGGAGGTCATGTCCTACATTTTATATCATTTTATTGTTTCCCTGAAGTCCACTTTTAATAAGTCATGGTTTCATGCACAAAGAACAGTCATAATTTAGTTTTATATGAACACTATACCCAATCTAAACCTAAGATTTAAAGGGCTAGTTCAACCAAAAATGAAAATACTGTCATCATTTACTTTTTTTTTTTTTTTTTTTTTTTTTCAAAAAAAAAAAAAAAAAAAAAAAAAAAAAAACGAAAGCTATTAGGCTATTTTGATTACAACAGACAATTTACAGTTAGTGCCATCATAAAAATACACTTGTAGGTTTAAAATTCTACGTCACATTTACACATTTAACAACAAATATTTTAGCTAAATGTAGATTTTAGTGAGAATTTTTGTACTCATTTCAATCAAAATCACCCTATTTACTTAAATGTGGTGATAACGCTCACCTTAAGGTCCTGTTCTGCTTTCAGAGCAGCCTGTGTGCCACGGGGTGCAAATGAGGGACCAGAAGGTCCACGTGGAGGATGCTGGGGTCTAGGATGGGGCATCAGACCCCCACTCAGATTAGGGGACATGGGTGGACCCATGGGTGAACGCTGTACCCCTCCAGGAAATGAGTTTGCATGGGGTTGACGCACCAATGGAGACACCATGTTAGTCTGAGACAGCATCTGTTTATGTGACAGACAGGAAATGCTGTTAATGCACAAGTGTGATCAAATTAAATTTCCAGCAACTTACTTTCTGTCTGTAGTAACTGACCTGTGGGTTGAATGGTCCTGGGAAGTGCTGGGCAATGCGCATTCCTGCAGATCCCGACTGGAACTGTTTGGGATACAGCATGCTGTTCATCCTGCTAGACTGACTACTGGGGCTTGTGGAGCTCACCCTGAGAACACAAACAAGGAAGCTGTCAGAAAACATACAAAATACGGCTACAACAGATCAGGGATATGCATCCAGTGTGCATGAAGGCCATGACACACCAAGTCGACCGTCATCTGTTGGCCAATATCGGGCTGACATTCAGCATTTGTTCTTGCAATGTGTTCTGTACAGCTGCCACAAGTCAAAGGTTTTGCTGGCAACTCAACATGCTCAATCGACTGAAGAGCCCATCAGTGAGAGATATTGCTTTGGTTGTTCAAGCTTAGCAAACCAACCAACCAACAAGAAGCAAAAAACAAGAGGCGAAAGCAAGCAAACTGCAAAGTTAAGAGGGAACAAACTAAGCAAGCACAGCTTTGCTTACCTTTTGTACACTACTGGTTGAAAGGACAACAGAATTTGTTTCTTTCCTTACACTACAATTTAAAGGTCCCATATTTTCAAAACTGAAATTTCTTGGCTTTTTTCATGATAACTGAGGTCTACGTGCTATGTAACTACCATATATGTTTCAAAACAGTCAATCCAGACAAATGCACACAGCCTGCATAAAGTAGCTGTGCCTTTTCACGAGCCGTTGTGACTTCCGAAAAAAGGTGACGTCAGAACTACACAGTCGTCACCTTCAGTCACCACCCCGAGCACTGCCCATCGTCCCACCCTCCTTTTGCCAAACCCCCAGACAACATCGCATCCATGCCATTGCTGAGCAACAACACCACGTAAACATGTCAAGAAAACGCTGTTCAGTCGATGGATGTCAGGAAACTACATCACTGCACAGGCTTCCCTAGGATTGGGCCGATAGACGATGCCATCGTCCATCGCCGATGGCTGATAGACTTCACGATGTTGAGCTGGCATCGTAATCCTCCCATCCCCCCCTCCCCCTCATACTCCCCGCAATCCGGCCGCATCCCAATACCGTGTTTGGAAAGAAAATGACTTGTATTAAGGAACCCTTAAAGTTAATAAATACAAGATGAGAGGAAAATACATTTCAATATTTTCACTCGCAGTTATATCATTGGGTAATTATACGGTTTAAATTACGGGCATCAGGCAGGGAGCCGCTATTATGCCTGGCATTGAAACTGCTTTTGAATGCACGATTTTAGTTTCACTTTCACTTTCGAGATTCGCGATCACACGTACTTTGTTTATACTATGGAGCGGCAGTACTTACCACACATTTTACAAGATTAGATGTTTGTCAGTGGTGCTCAGGATCTGCAATTCGCCTTAGTCCTCAATCATTTCTCATTACTGCAGTGTTTCAATTACCATTATTTTCCCGGTTCTTGATGCGCTATCAGACAGCTATCTTCCAGTGTTGCCAAGTCCGCAGTTTTCCCGCGGAATTGGGCTGCTTAACACTGTTGCCGCGAGTTGTTTTTCATGTCCGCAGGTTTTTCAGACCCCATTAACGTGATATTTAGCCCCTGGAATGCGAATTTTACCAGGGGAACCCCGCCAAAACA